ATGTAAGTGGCTATTGTTCGGGAAGACCAATACTAAAGAAGGGCAGTGTTACGACAGCGGAAGTCACGCGACGCTGAGTGCATGCGCGCTGAAGTTTCCAGAAGGATAATGTTTAATGTAATGAATAGAGTTTCCTGGCAACTCTAGTTTGTTTGAGGCGCCCTGTTTTTTCTAGTATATAAGCCTGGCAAAGAAAGCCAGAAAGAAGGGCAGATAGATTGAAGAGAAATAATTGAGTCAAGCGAACACGTAGGCGCTATAAGTAAAGTGTGTGAATCATTGTGATTTATAGTGTGCTATAAATATTGTTAAGTTTAAAGTGACTGTGGAAATTCTGTGTACTAAAAAGTTTTATCAAGAAAGAATAAACTAGTTTTATTTAAGAAAGGACTTGTATCGCTGAAGTTCCTCGGAAAGAATCTATACCGGAAATTAACAAACGAGCAGATACCTAACAGTATGTTTATCTGACAGCTAAGTGAAATTACTTCTAACGTCTAAAGTCATGTTAAACATCCTCTGTTATCCACATAAAAATATTCAATATTGTTCCCAGTTGATTATGTCCGAGTTCTCTATATTCAATGTGATTGCGAGCATTCGTATTTGTTAATGATGAAAAATACTCCAACATAGCCCCATGAAAAAGGTTCTGGAAGAAAAGCGCGAGCTATGCCGCTCAAGTAGACTAAATACTTGAATTTAAACTGCCTTGCACACGAACTTTAAGAAAGAGGTTTTGAAAAGCAGCAAATTTCCCCTTAGTTCCTTAACTAAACCAGTCTATGCACAATAACAAGAGGAAAGTAGTACTTTATATATATATAAAACTTGATAATGTTGTGCTGAAGATAAGAAAGTTAAAGTCTGTTAGTGTAATAGTTACCTCTTCATAATATTTTAAAATATAATACAAAAAAGTTAAGTGATTGAACTACGGTAAATTGTTTTATAGAACAAAATATAAATGAGCTTCCAGTTGGTTGAATGAGATTAGTATTAAGTCATTCACAAGAGGGCGTCTAAAAAGAGGGCGTCTAGCAAACACTCGGACATTCGCGGGGTTCCCCGATAATTCTACAAACTCCAGCGCGCATGCTCACAGCGTCACGCGACTTCCGCTGTCGTAACAATATAATTAAGTTTTCAGATATTATAATACTGTTACTAATACGACAAGACAGAGAAATATGCAGTGTTGTTCAATTTGCCGTAAACACGATTTTTGAATTATATTTTCTTACAAACTTCTAATTGTGAATGGTACGTTCAAGCATGATACATTGCAAAAACAAGACATGAGTGCACAGAACAAACATGACTGGCGAAATGCTTATATAAAAAGAAACGAAGCGCATGCAATGAGAAAATACATGAATCGACAGTAGTAAATAAGAACAGCATACATAGAAATAGTATACGCAGCCTAGTCTCCTTAGTCTGTTCCCTAGCCCTACTTGTACTATCTCTTTACATAGTCATGCCCTCTAAACGTCCTTTTACTTTGTTTTCCAGAAAACGCAGCAAGTACATTCTGTATTTTAAATACGACTATGATAAATTATTATATATTACTAATTATCTACACAGTAAGCACTGATTTGCAACCGCTAAAATTCTTTCAAATTTAATGTTCACGCACAACATTAAAATTAAATATTTATCTTAAACTGTCAAAATTAAACTTTTAAACTTAAACACCTATCGATAATCTCGAGTCAGTTAGAAAACTTGATTACGAGAAAACAAAATCACGTTCTTAAAATTTATACTATAGTATATAGAAATAAGAATTTTACAGTATTTATATAATAAAAAATATTGGTTTATTAAATATGTTCATGTTTTTTACGTTATAACTTATACTTAGTGCTTTGTAAGCCTAAAATATTCACATTTCAAATATAATATTAAGTTTTTCCTACCCTGTTATTTTCCAGTGCCTCTGCAGAATGGACTTCTTTAGTTTTGAAACAGTGCTGACATTTTGTCTTGTTAAATATATTCGGCGCGAATTTCTGGCAGTCAGTTTTGAAAGTTGTTGTCATTGTGGACATTATAATGCAACAGCGAAATACAAGACCGAAGATTTTTTTAGCTTAGTTTATGATTAAATATTACGTATGCCATTACATGATTTGCCAGAATGTCGACACCGTCATAGAACTTTTCCTCAATCTAGTATACACGTGTTGCAATACGAATTCAAAGTGACCTGGATCGCCCTGGTGTAAGTTATACGTTTTCGTTCTTGTCAACCTTGTTTTAAATACTCAAACTTTAGGTTAGGATTTTAAACACTTTTAGACAACTTGTACACGTCCTAACAAGTGCATAATACTTACGATATCTTTATATCTACTTTTTTCAGCAACGATGCAATATAAATAGAAAACTTTCTATTACTGCTGTGCAAGGCCAAGAGTTCGCTTAACTTATAATTTTATTAAACTTTTAAAGTTCTAAGCACCCGAAAACCTTGCACTGCGACAAAACGCTACTACTTCTAGTACTAGACTGTGTTGGTGCAACAAAGTAGATATTATCAAATGTTTTTTTAGTTATCAAGATAATATCAGAAGAACAACTTGCTGAATTCCGGTTCAAATTATTATACAAAACCAACTTTTTTTAAACAGATCTTCGACGTACTGCAACAATTTTCGGGAACACATGTATCGCTCAATTCCAGCGAAACCTCCCTACCAACACTTACAAACACAACTGCTTGACTACTCTGATGTTAACCGTCGAAATCGCCACTGTATATTCTCCACACCAGGACTCCTTGAGAAATAATAAAAACAGATTTTGCGCATGGAGCGAAACTTTATGACGAACAAATTAATAATATTCACTCGCTCATTTTTAACCATTTTAGAACACCAGGGTGAATTTAAAGTATAATCATTCGTTCACATACAACCCAAGAAGGTTACTCAATCACTGAATTCCGATAAACTTATTATTAACATCTTTAATTAATTTTGCATATCTCCTCCCCCTCCCTTACTTAAACACACACACTGTTAGGTCTCTGTTCGTTTCTTAATTTTCCGTAGAAATTCTTTCCGAAAAAAACTTCAGCAATACAAGTCCTTTCTTAAATAAAACTAGTTTATTCTTTCTCAATACAACTTTGCAATACACTTAATTTCCACAGTCGCTTTAACTTATTTAACGGTCACATCAGTGATAGTAACTTCATCAAG